AGACACGTGACTCTGGGGAATCGATGAACGATGGGACCGGACCTTGACTTCATTAGTGCTTCTCCCCCCGGATAACTTATGTTTAGTCAGGTATTTTCCGGACTGCTTTTCTTTTTCTTATGTTGTAATAATTTGCAATAACACAGAAAATAATAGAAAAGCAGCTTAAATGGTTACGTTGATATATTAAAAAGACGCTAAGGTAAACAACAGTTTGGCTACAATGTAGTTATTTAATTTTATTTGCAATTAAAACAATTCTTTTAAGTTTTATTTATTTTCTTTTAGTAATAATCAATGCCCAACAATGAAAACCAAGCCGAAAATTGTAGTGTAAATAAATTCCAGTTTGATATTCAAAACGCCACTGGTTTATGTTAGTCGCAATGAATACATCAGAGACACACATACATGTATACAGATGTACGGGTATGCCATAGCCATTCATTTATATAATATAATTATTTAAAGCATCGCGGCTGTCTATTCGGTTTGTTTACTGTTGCCTAAACCTAAGAACTTATGCATAAAACCGGCCATTTTATTTATTATTATACAATTGAACGCCGTGTACGAAATTCGAGTACTACGAACAAAGCTACGATGACAGACAACTAGGATTGCAATGGGTATGTGTGTGTGTGTGTATCTGTAGGTGTGTGCATGTGTGTGGTTGTATGCTAAGTATTATTTATATATACGTATACATATGCTATGGTGTAGTATAAAAATATATTTATATTTATATATCAAGATGTTTGTATAGTTCTGTAAATCTATATGCCTGTTTAGGATTTACATGCCGAGCAGGCACTCGGAATTGCCGGTTATGTCGGCAAACTGCGCTGGCTACGCCTGCGTCACAAAGTACATCTCGCCCGAGGAGCCAACGACCACGGCATGCGTATCACCCGGGCCAGCTGTGCCGCTTAGCGCATTGGGGGCAGCGGCTATCATACTGGACATGTCAGTGCCATTGCTGACAATGCTGACGGCACCGCTGAATGCGGCATTTGAGCTGGTGACAATTGTTTGTGTTTCGCTGCCATTGCTGCTGGCATGGTCCGTATTCTCTACATGCTGCTGCAGATTGTCAATGTTATCGTAGAGTGTGGAGCATTCGCCGCACTTGTACAACGGATCAACGCATTCCGGGTGTTTGCGCTCTACGTGCCAGCGCAGATTGGCCGCATTGGAGAAGTTCTTGCGGCAATTGGACACACCACAGCAATAGGCGCGCTGCTGATGCGTCTGCCTGTGCCTATACAGTATCGCTTTCGATTTGAATGTGCGATTGCATATGTTGCACAATGGCGTACTTGTTTCAGCATCGTGCGTCTTCATGTGCATGCGCAGCATGCCCGGCCCCTTGAAGCTCTTCAGGCAGATCTCGCACTGCGGCTGCTTCTTGCAATTGGCCCGTATCCAGTTGGTGTGCGAGTGCATGTGATTCTGCAAGCCCTTGAACTGCCGAAACTCGGTGCTGCACAGATGGCAAATGTAACGACCAGATCCCAGAGGCGATGTGTGTTGCCTGATAAATTCCGTGACCAGATTCGCATCTATCTCGTAATTATCATCGGCGCCCGCTGCTGCAATCACCGAGGCGGTCTGCACCAACTGACGTGAATTGGATGCGGCTAGTTTACTGCTAATAGTGGGTGGACTGTGCTGGTGATTGCAGGGTGTCTCCACCAGTTGATTGCTATGCGTTTGCGCGTTGCCACGACGTGCGCGCTTCGCTGAACTGGGAGTGGGACTGGGCGTATTGCTGACATGCAACGTGGGCGCTACCAAAGTATCCTGGCCAAACTCGACAACAGCATTTTCCAGCGATATGCTATGTATGTCAACGGACTGTTGTTGTTGTCGGTGCTGTTGCTCATGCAACTCTTGCTGCTGCTGTGCCTCGACATCAATAAAGGCCTGATCAATATCGCTGGCACTGACATCACCATCGGGCGGCTCCATAATGGCATAGTGCAACTCATCATCCACATCGCCGCCAAGGCCGTGATCCTGATCATCGGTTATGTACTCGCAATCATCGACATGCGTCATGGCATCCCCATCTACATCTCCTTCCCCGTCGTCAAGCATATCTTCATCTAGTTGTATTTCCTCAATGATAAAATTGTCATCGTCGTCATCCTCGTGCTTGACGCCATCCTCGTGATGCAGAAGCTGCTCGTCAAAGTATTCGTCGGTCTCCTGCTCTTGTGTGTCGCTGTGCGTAAGCTCCTCGTCAAGTAGAACTTGATGTTGTTGCTCCTTTAGAAAATCCTGCTGCTGATCATCGTCCAGCACAATTGTCTCGAACGTGTGATCCTTGCCATCCAATTGCTCATACACCTCTTCTAGCTCCTCATCATCCATTTCGGCATCGTCCAAAAGCTGCACATCTGCATCTGCTAGCGAAGCCCCACTACTTGTCGTGCACATGTCGGTTGTGGTCGTCGTTGTGATCGCCGGCGCCATGCTACGCTGCGGCACCAATTGCACCAGTTGGAGGGTCTGTGTGCCGTTCGGCTGCTGGACAATTTGCAGCGTTTGGCCATTGGGCGCCTGCAGCAACTGTGGCAGGAATTGTGCCTGTGCTGAGGCATTGGCATTCGTTGTCGTCGTTTGGGCGCCGATAATCTGCGCCAGCTGCGGCGTCACAATTTGCGTCGTTATGAACTGGCCGTTCGGCAAGAGGATTTGCTGCGCCGTCGTTGTTGGCATAAGTTGCGCAGGTGCCGGCTGCAGCGTAGGCAACTGAATCTGTTGTATCTGCTGCTGTTGCTGCTGGGTAACTAGCGGTGGAGGCGGCGGCGGTGGCGCAGGCTCCGGCAACAACTGTACCACATCTTGCTGTTTTTTGGACTGCCGTGAAGTTCCTTTGCGCAGCAACGGCTTCAATTTGTTTTTGGACTATTTGAGAATTAGGAAAGAGTCTATAAATGTAAATTGGCTAAGAAATTGCGCGGGGATTTGTACCTTCTGTTGTTGTTGATTCTGCTGATGCTGCTGCTGTGGTTGCTGCACCAGGAATATAGACGACTGTTGCTGTTGTTGCTGCTGCTGTTGTTGTTGCTGTTGATGTTGCAGCTGCTGCTGCTGCTGCAGAATTTGTTGTTCAAGTTTCTGTTGCTGCTCCTCAAGCTGCTGCTGCTGCTTGAGCTGCTTTTGTAACAGCTTCTGCTGTTTGCGCTCTTGCGGCGTCAGCGACTCATCCATCACCATGCGCACCGTCAGGCTTTTAATATATTCACGTAGTTCCTTGTCGCTGCGCTCGACGAGCGACTTAAATGCATGATTTCGACTGACCGCATGGACACACTGCACACAGATTTTATCAGGCCAGCCCTCGGTAGGCTCGACTCGTACGCTGGTACAATCCATAAGCATTTCGGGCACTTTTTCGCTAAAAAGCGGACGCATTTCCTTGCGCTCCGAAATGCATAAGCGACAGATTTTGTCCAATTCAAGCACCTTCTTGCGGTCCATCATGACGCTAACTTCACTGTACACTTTAATTGCAGTTTCCTTCTACAACACATTGAGATATGTTAAACTTGTTGCTTGTTTCTTTGATAATCCTAGCCAAAGGCAAAAATGTATGAGAACTTTTTGATAAGCGTTATTTTAAATTTGGCGCTTAAGAAACTCTGGTAGCGCTGGAGCTTGTTCAACGCTCTGGCAACTCACCGCTAGCGGTGCAAACGAGATGGCTATACAGCCGACAAGACACGACGACGACGACAACTAGTTATACACAATTTAGCATCCTGGTATTGGTGCGAGCGAAAAATCATATTTTAACTACTTTCGCAGCTAGCGACACAAATGTTTTTTATATTTGTAAACTTTATATTTACACCAATTATTTGATAAGTTTCTCATACTTTTTGCACTTTGGGTCAAGGTTTTTAAGAGCACAATCCAGAGTTTAACTTACCCAAGCAGTATTTATGTAATTTATGTGGCCTCCCTTCGTGTCTTTGCACTGCATTCGATATTAATTCTTTTTAAATATGGCCGCGTCACACAATTTCCAAGCGAAAAACCTAATTATTTCACATTTTAAGCACTGAGCGCGGTTTTGTTTTGAAATGATGCGAAACAAAAACAAATGCGGCACCAGTTGGTTATTCTGGCAAGTAAATGAAATAACTAGACTTCGACCAGTGCCAAATTAATAAAAATTCAATGAATGAAATTTCCGTGCAAACGCAATGGTGCTGTTTCTGCTTTTGTCTTCTTCTGTCGACTGCAGAATGCGCGAGGCAGCTGAAACGACGTGAAACGACGATTACCCACACATTCGCGTCACACATATATAGCTCTCTTTTTTTGTTTCGCCCCGTCTTCTGCTTGTGTGAGTGAGAGATGCGTATGTGGCGTGGCCATGGCCCGGGGCTGCCAACTCGATCAGACGAAAATACACCAAAATTTGGGCGAAAACAAACAACAAATACTTATACACATGCAAACGCTTTGTGTTAGCAGAATAAAACGTTTTGTGCGATTAAGATAATTTGCTAACAGATTGATAATAACAATTTGTTATTATTTGAAGAACTTAATAACTTACCTAAATGTGTTTTAATAGTGGCAGCCTGCGGATTTCACATTTCACAACACGCACAAACACTTTCAGAACTGCGCTGTGCCTTGCGCTTTTTGCGACTTTATGTCGTCCGGACTTGCTCTTTTTTTTATAGCTTGGCACATTTAAAAATATGCAAATAATTTTCACCTAACATCAACTTGATATTACACGCCCACGTAACAGCTGCGCCGGGTACGAATACTTTAAGGACTGTCATGCCATGATGAAAGCTTTTGATAAGGTGCTGTTAAATGGGCGTCATTTCAGCTGTGCGAAAATGTGACGTCACAAATGCAGTGGTTTAACATTTTCCATATATCGATAAGAGTATGTTGTTAATAACAGCGTAGCTGTTTATCAATCAGCTGTCAGATAGCGGTTAGAGAAATTCTTGGAAATATAGAAATTATTGTTTAAATTCAAAGAACTTTTATTTGTTATAAAACGAATATTTTGAAAATTCCTGTTGGGAACAAATGAAAATGTTGCTTACGTCTAGGAGGAGCTTGTTAGCTTGTTGCTAGTGTTGGCAAGCTCGTATTTTTGCCTCTCCTTGGTCTTTTTGTTGTAGACGCGCACAATGCCATAGACTAGGGTAACCAGGAGTATACCAAACAACAGGCAACTGATCACAAACCAGGGATAGAAAGAGGAGCTGCCCCCCTGCTGCTCTTCCGCCTCCCACTCCCTAAACTCAATAGATCCATTTGCACTCATTCTGGCTGGTGCAGCAGCCATGTCCTGGAACAGTGACGCCTTGGCCAGATTATCGGATTCGGGTGCCTCAAATGCCGGCTCGGTGCTGTCGATACGCACAAACGTTAACCGGACTCCAGCAATTGGTTGCTTATAGCGCATCAGGCCATGGCCATAGTATTCGTAGATATCGGCATTGAGCTCACGATGCTGATCAACCCACTGGCCTATTATCTCCACCTTTACCTCGCTGCGGGCATCCATTGTGCGTCCGTAATAGGACTGCTCGTGCACATCCAGGCCGCCCACACCGTTTGCATCCAGCTCCAGTACAGAGCCGCGATGCTCGAGCAGCAGCGGCAGCTGCTCCAGTTTCTCTTGCTCATAAATGCTGCTTGTGTTGACCCGAACCTTCTCGACAAACGCATAGCTAAGGCTGCCATAGATGGGTTTACGCTGTCCGCTGGGATTCTTAAGCATTCCGCTGCCCAAACGCATTTTATAGCTGTTAGTCACATTGCGCCAGGGCAGATACGTGATGTTGCGCAGCTGGTACATCAAAGGCTGCAGCTCCACCAGCACATTTATGTTGTCCTCAATGCCATACTGCAAGATGAGGGAATGTACTATAGTTAAGTAAGGAAGAATGCTTTGTACAGTGTTGCCAATTCAGCTATTTGTTAGCTACATTTGGTTATTTTCAGAAGTCGTAATCGTTACAATCTTCAACTGATTTAGCTATTTTTCAACTCTCTTTAGCTATTTTTAACATTGGCTTTGCCGACTATTTGGAAGCGGCAATTGGCAACACTGGAGATCTAGTCGGGAGTGCCCGACTAGCAGATTCCTTGTATACCAAGTTCCCAGCTGCAATCGCAGCACTTACAAAGTTGTCCTCGAATATCATGACTACGCATGTGAAGAGATTGTCCATCACATTGTTGACCAGATCCGTGTGTCTGAAGTGACACAGCTCAGTCTTTTCCCGCTCCACATTGGTCGCCTTGGCTATGTAGCTGAGGCGCTCCCTGGGATTCAGTTCAGCTGCATAGTTCTGCAGCATGATCTTGTATGGTACCCAGGCCAGCATAGTGCTAGCATTTCCATTGCATATGTCACGCTGGGCACCACGTCCATTCAGCTCACCGTTGTGCAGCTTGAAGAAGTGATGATTGCTGCGTTTTATTGTTGTCGAGCCGTGATCCGTGCACATGGTGTCAACGAGGCTTTCCTGTGGATTAATCAAAGCGCAAAATACTTGATTTGCCACTCACATAAATAATTTTCTTATCTGTGCTGTGCACATTATCTAGCCATAGACACTTTTCCCGTTTCCTCGCTTTCTTTATCTCACCTAATTGAATTAGGAATATAAAGGGGGCGAGCCACTCCAGTTAATCTATATCGCCCATATATATACAAATTGTCTATGAATCAAGGGCCTTGAAATAGTCATTTAAGGATTTTTGCAACAGGCAACACGTTTTCATTGATTGTCCAAACGAAATCGACTTAAGCTCAACTGATTGATGGAATGCCATATAAGGCAGCGAATTTAAAAGACCATGTAGATAGCTTAAAATGGGAAATTTTCTAAATATGTTGTTAATTCATCTTTAATTTATTGACATTGCTTTCAATAGGAATCTTCTCAGAGCTTTGACTACCCGATTAGCCGAAATGTTATTGTAGTACTATTTGGAACATCCGAATAAACTCAAGAACCAGAAGACCAATTCAATTTTTTCTATATTTATAAATATGTAGAAAAGTTGTATTTAGAATTACAATTTCTATTTGAACTTACCTTCTCCTTGAGCGTCAGCGTTGTGGCTGTTATGTGACAATTGGTTTCCGTGTCGCTAGCAATGACCACATGACGACCTATATCAGTCAAGAGCAGCGGTTCCGTTTCTATGCAGAAATCCGCACGTTCCTGAAACGCCCTGCAATATGTGGAAAGGAGCAAGATCCACGTTACAAGCGCTACAAATGTGAGCATGTGCATGGTTTAACTTTGAGTGGACGAATTCTTAAGTATTCCGACGGTGATACGCGCGTCGTCGATGACAAATCGTAACTGAAATTCGCAATTGCAAGTAGTAAGTTATTTTGGTGATCGCCGTCGTTCAATCAGAAGCATTCAACTTGACCGCGAAAACCCGATAAATACCGAACACAGCCATATAACCATATTTATCTATGGCTGAAGGATAAACTTGAGCGATTCAATTGTGGACACACGAGCAAATCTATTAGCCAAACAGGTGAATTGATTAACATTAACCAAAAACCACTGGCCTGCGCGTCATTTCACAATTCGAATCCGAGATAAGATAAAAACTAAGCACAAAAAAGCTACACAACCACCTCGTTCTGATTAGCGGGCGTCTATATCGGAATGTTTCCAAACATTTTGTTTACAACATGAAAGAAATGCAGTTCATTTTAGGGAACAGTGCTCAGATACAGTGTTTGGTTGTGTGAATGTTGCAAATGGACAAAGGTATAACATTTTATGCAATATATGTAAATATATTATACTATATAATATAATATATAAAATGCAATATCTGTAAAAAGTTCAAACGGCAATTAAAAATTGTCCAGGATTATTGGTTAGTATCTTAAAGCCATCAGACGACTGAAATCTAGAATTCCTATTGGCAGTTACGTCAGTATTTTCGAAAAATAAATGTGTAATTCAAAATCATGAATTCTTAAGAACAATTATTAATTTAACTTATTTTTCGAAGTGTTCATATGTGCACGAACTTATGCTACTAACGCTTGCTACGTGTTTTTAATTCTTTATTTATAGAAAAGTATATAATTTTAATAAACTCTGTACACTAAGAAATTGTTGAACAATTTTCTTGTTTCATTTTTTCCTTACTTTTGCTTATTGCTCTTCAACAGGTCAGTTTTTTTTTTTTGTGTTTTGGGGCTTTTTTTACATTGTAATTATTTGTACAAACTTTAACATAAAATAAAATTTAATATAACAGCTAACAAAACTAAGCGATTATATAGCTTATGTTGAATAAGGGGGACAAATCCGATCTCGACATGCTGAAAAATAAGTAGTTAATTCGCGAGAATATAAAGAAACGCGCTAACAATTCGAGCCAAGGCAGCGAAAAATAGTTGGTTCTAGTCGACTGGGCTTATCTGGACTGTTCTGTACGAGGCGTTTTATTCTGGGGATAAAGATAAAGATTAGACATTTTATATGCATGCTGGGGTTAAGGAATGTGAAAAGCCTTTACCATCGCTACTGGCATCGCCTTCAAAGTCAATTTCATCGACATTGGATATAATTTCAAGATCGTCGTCATCGTCATCATCACCGTCATCCATATCGCTATCATTATCATCATCACTGGAGGAATCAAGATCGATAAAGTTGCGATTGCGGTGGCTGCGTAACGGGAAACCCAGAAAATTTGGACCTATGGCAAATGCTATGGCAAGTAGAGCATAAATTTGATGATATAAGATCTACGCCTGGCACTCACCGTTATCAGAACCGGTATCCGAACCCGTCTCGGAGCCCTCCTCATTGGATTCGGGCACCTCCTCATCATCTTCCTGCAAGCATAGACATAATATTAAATTCAATATCATCCATCTGCCGCATGAGCGTTCTGAGATCGATTGGCGCACCGCCGGCACCGCCCAGTGTACGTGCTCGCCGTCGCACACCAACAATTGAGCTGTTGGGCGCATGCTGGCGAGCCAGATTTGAATTGGCATGTGACGGTAGTCTTAGCCGGCTTGGACGACGGGCGCGTGCCTCGTCGTCGTCGGCACCACCAACACCAATGCCAACTGCGTCAGCGTCAGCATCAAGCAAAGCTAAATTTGGTGCTGGCGTATGGGGGCGTGCCGCCGCCTCTTCGACGATGCGAATCAGCGCAGAGTCACCGCTTGGTGCATTGGCGGGCGGTGGCGGTTCCTCGGACGCGGACGCGCCGCCTCTAACGACACCCTCATCGACGGCCAGGTCCTTAACCGCACGCACCTCTTCCGAGCGCTCGCTCTTTTTAACGCCCACGGCATAAATCTTCACATAGGTCTCCTGCTTCGAATCGTAGCCGCTGTGATCCTCCACAACAGCAATTAAGCTGCCATTTGCACTAACGCTCAGATCGTTAATGTTACGCTTCACATCGATGGTCGCAATGCTCGAATAGTCGTACGCATCCAGAACATTAAAGCTAGTATCATAGGTGGTTGTCTCCATGTCATGGTCTCTATCAGCGCCCAAACTAGCGCCATATATCACATGCATTGGCGAGAACGTGCAATTGCGCTGATCCAGCACCGGCACCGTCTGCAGCAGATGAAAAGTGCGCAGATCCCACACCTCCGTGTTGGCTATAATCTGCGAAATAATTCGATTTAAGACCTGAGAAAGTAATAGATAGAAGGCAACGCTTACCTCCAAGCAATTGGGATGAAACACGCCCGAGATGCATTGATTAAACTTGTCGAATTTGTGAATTTCTTTGCTGGAGCGCACATCCCAGAGCACGCCATCTGGAAGCATTGAAATAGAAGAGACTGTATACTACTTCGGCTGCTGCACTTACCTGAGAGTAGCAGCTCGTCGGTGCGGCAGAGCGTTGCGCGATTCTTGGTGTACTGATTTGGTATGGTGGGCGTAAACGTGGATACCTTGGAGCCCGTATTGATGTCATACAGCACCGCGCACTGCAGAGGCGAAACAAAATTGGTAAGCATTTAATAAGAATAGCAGCAAAAACTTATTCAAACGTACATCGGTGTGTGTGCCCAGTAAACGATCCTGCGTGGTTTGGCTAAATTCACAGTAGCCGACCTCGGGTAGACGCAGTTTGGAGCGGAACTCGTTGTCGGTTATGGACCACAAAATGGTGGTGCGCAGACGCCAGAGACTAGTGGTCAGCACCAGATCACCGGCGCGATTCGCCTGAATCGCGTCCACGCCATACGTGTGGCATATGGAGGAGAACTGCTCGACGCCATCATTCATGTTGAATACCTTGCTCTCGCCCTGGTGCGTGCCAACGATCAGGTAATTACCCACAACGTCACAGCATGTGAACTCCAGATCATCATAGTCGGCGGAGCGCATGGTGCGCCAGGGCGCAAAATGTGTGTGCACGTGACGGCGATCGAAACGTGCGGTATTGAAGCCAGCTTGGGTGCGAAAATGCCTGGAGGTAAGATTATAGTTGGAGCTGACCAGACGACTGGGCCGTGGATCGGGGCATTTGTGCGGCTCGTATAGATCAAACTGCGGACAGGTGGTAACCGGATTGTTGCACAGCGAATGCTGATTCGTTAGATACTCTGTTACAATGCTGTTGAGTGTCACGCGTTTCGGATGCAGCGCTGGCGAGATAGTCAGCTCATCTGGCAGGCCCACAGCGCTCGACTCTACGTTGGCCAAACTGATCTGCTTCTGCAGCGAGCGTGTGACCGATGATGTGGCACGCTCCGTCTTGCGAAGCTTAATGGGTGTCTGTGCACTGAGGTAGCTAAAGTTGGGCACGCCCATGGTAGTAGACGCTGCGCCCGTCATTGATGAGGAGGCGCCAATGCTGGAGCTGCAGTGTGGCGACATATCCTCCGAAAGACTGCGATTCTGGTCGCTACTGGACATAATGGCCGCATTGACATCCTGCATGCGACTACGCAAACGACTGCGTGACAGTGAACTGATGCCGGCGAAACCTTTGTAGTCGAAGGGCGACTGATGGAAACTGCGGGTCGTTGTCGTCTGCAGGGGCAGACCCACCTCACGCTGCAACATCTGAGCCGTTTGGCTCAGACCCTTGCTCTCCAGATGCTCAAAAATTAGCTGATACAGCTGCTGTTCGTTGTATTGAATTCGTGTCTGGGCAATCACGTTCGCCTTGTGCATGTTAGTCAGCGATGGATCTAGCGGATTGTTGAGCGGCTTTGTCTTGCCCGAGATGCGCTCGAGCAGTTCCAGTGCATACTTTTGGAAAATCACATGTTCGGCTCGCTTCTCCTGCAGTATGGGATCACGCATTAGCGCCTGCAACTGCCCGCTGGCAAATAGCGGAAGTTTGCCCACAATTTGACGAACACGATCGGAGCGTGCCAGGCCAGCCAAGGCGCGGCAGGCCATTCCGCGTATGCAGTCGGCATCCGTGATTGGACCCTTCGTTTGCATAAGTGACAACAGCACCACAATACCATTGTTTGAGCACACCGACTCCCACACCTTCTCGATCAGCTCCTCGGCATATTTCTGGTTCGCCTTGTTTTTTCGCGACGAGTTGGCAAACTTCATAAGACTACTGCTCCCGCTATCCTTGCGTATTATGGGCGAGCACACACAGTGGCAGAGCACGGCCAGCGCGGATTTTAAGACCTCGGCGTCGGCTGTGATCTCGCCGGCCGCTGCGCCTAGTACCGAACAGAAACCGGACGTTGTCGTCTTATCTGGCATTTGAAGCCGTTCGCAGAGCACCAGATAGACGCGTGGTATCACACAGCATACGCTCAGCACGTCCAGGGCCGAGCGCACCGTCTCCGAACGGCCACTGTTCACCCAGTCGTAGCTAAAGGCAATGATGCGCAACAGCAATGTGATGCCGCCCAGCTTCATAAGCTGATCCACGGGCTCCCAATGGCCACGCACCGATGTGTGCTCCTGCAGCGTACGCAACTGTTCGTGCAGCTGATCGAATGTCAGCTTGGCGGCCACAGTTGGCTGCTGACTGAAGTAGTGAGTCGAGGAGGACGATGATGTTGCATAGTGCTGGCAGAGAAAGTTGTTGTACTTGTAGAAGAAATGCGCCTCCATATAGCGCTTCATTGCGATGCAAACATGTCGCACCATCTGACGTGAAGCGCACTCCACATCCTCGTTAATATCCGAGCCGTTATCGCTGTCATTGTGACTGGGATCCAAAATTTTCAGTACCGATATCTGTAGGAAAACCATAAACAAATTATTATCTTTAAACTTAGGCAGTCTAAAAACTGTTTACTTACAACATTGTAGAGCTTGCGCAGGCCATCCTGCGAGTCGAACTCATCCAGTATGGCCTTAAACTGAAAGCTTAGGCTGAAGAACATGGTTGCATGACATTTGGAGGAGTCATGACAGCGGCCGAGTATCCACAGTGCATAGCGCACCAGATTTGATATCAATGGACGAGGCATGCTGCATATTCGCTCCATGGCATCCTCACAGTAAGCCAAATAGTAAATGGCTATGGAGACGCCCGTTGTGGCCAGACTGGGCCGTGGCACATTCAACAGCAGCTGCAAAAATAAACAAATTAAAAAGTGCAACTATTGAGATTTTCAATTGGGCTTACCTCCAGTCCGCCGCGCGATATAAACTCCAATGCGAACTTCTTGTGGCAGAGAAGCGAGGCCAGATACTTGAGGACCTCGTAGGCCAGGCAAGTGTCGCGCCTATCTAGCTCTTCGAGATGACCGAAGATCAGACCCATTACATTATTACCAAATGCCATGGCTAGAAACTCTTGGTACTCGCCCAGACTGGTTAGGAAGCGCATAATCAGCATCTGGCTGGTGTCCGCTGTTGGCGGATGCAGTGGTATATACATGCGCTTGTAATACCGCGACAGTGGAAACGCATCGCGGCTATTCTCAAACAAAATAGACATATTGGACGCACTCCCGCTGGCGCCGTTATGCTGCGGCGACTGCGGCGCTGAGGCAGCGCCACAGGCCATCCAGCTAAGCATGCCTGGCGAGAAACTGCTGTCCGCCGAGTTATTAAGCGAGGAGCTCGGCTCTGCTATTGTTGTGTTTTTACTCATGCGACTGCAGGCAAGCAACAGGTGCAGGCGGTTAATCATCTTGGGCACCAAGCGCATATTCTGTTCCCGGCAGGTTATCGCAATATCGCTTACTTCCATTGCAGCGGCCAGCAGCCCGGTCGCATAGCTCTGCAGCGGCTCAATGCTGTCCTCCGCCCAGTTATAGAGACGATTAATGATACCATCTTCCTCAGCGGTCTGAAAAACTGCCGTCGTCTCAAGACCTGGCATTACCACTAATATTAGACGGCAGGCAATTATATTCAGCTCCAGTGAGCTGCGACTCATGTTCTGGCGACTAAAATAGTTATCCCGCAGATAATCGTTGAGCAGCTGAAAATGATTATTAAATTTTAGATACACCAAAATCAATTGTTTATAATTACTAGAATGTGGCGTATGTATATAAAAAGAATCTTGTCCAGACTGGCTAGTGGTCAACGGACAGCTTACACCATAAGAAATATAGAAACTTATTTTTTTTGGTCGAAGGTCAGCAGTAAGGCGGGGTTTTGGAAATTACGGCCTTCAGGTTGGGGAAAGTTTTATGAAAAACATCTAAAACAGCCTCGATGCTGTCATATTTACGATGTTTTCGGATCGAATCTCCGTAATGACAAAAGCGACCCGAGCGATGCCGAGTAATTTTTCAAGTAATTCATATATCATAGTTTTCTGTTTGCCATACCTTGCCCATGAACTGATCCTTGCGAAAGAGCAACTTCAGCAGTAGACCATATTGGCAACTGGGATCGGTGCGATAGGGATGCCGCAAGTCCAAAGGATCTGGATCCTTACGCATATATGAATCCTTTTCACGCTCAAATATTTCAGCTAGACTGCAATTATTATATATATATAAATATATATACAAGTTTAGCTAATAGTATAGCTTTGGCTCACCTTCTCAGTGTGGGCACTGGATCGTAGCCGTTTTGTGTTTGCTCTTGCTCCCATTTGTCAATTATTTGGGTGAGCTCTTTTTTGGTGGCCGAACGTCTGTCCGCGGCAGGATCGTCGTCGGCATTAGCATTGCCAGCATCATCGGCAACGCTATCATCTTCAGCGACAGCTGCGCCCTCGCCCTCACCTTCGGGTTCAGCCTCAGCTTCAACTTCAACTTCTGCACCCGCCTCCAGTGAATTTCCCACGTTTTGAGCTTCAGCTTCCTCTTCGGCTTGTATAGCTTGATCCAATGCATCCATCGAACTCTCGTCACTTTGGTAGGCAGCCGCAAATACAACATTATCCAAGGCTGCATCATTTAATGATGCACCACTGGGCATTTCAGCATCGTCTTCCTCCTGCGCCGCGGCGTTCGCATTGTTATTCGGATTCGACATTCTTAGAGCGGCCCACGAGGCGAGCGTTCGACAATAGCTCGTTGCGGTGCGCGCCAATTTCTTGATTTCAGCTGATAACACACGTTGCAGCTCCGATTACCGCTTCTTTACGTGTATATATTTTTTTATTTAGTACGATTGAGTTTATTAATATGCAAATCCGCTGCCGCTAAACCACGCGCTTCTCTTTTTTGCCAATGAATTAGTGTGACCGTGTGCCTTAGAGAGGAGCGATATATGAGTCTTTTTACATGAGTAGCAGAAAAATCGAATTTGAGACACATATATGAAAAGTTGCAGTAAGCTTCTACTGTCTTCAAATTTCGCCAATAAATAATTAAACAAAAGCAAATAAATATATTTTTCAGCAAATATGATAGAATATTGTTTCAAAGTACATTACATTGTATAAATTTAATTTGATATCTTTGAAGAAGTCATTGTCATAAATTAGGAACTACTTATTGAGCAAGTGAATTAAACCATCCCATTGACTGGGTGGCAACGCCGTCGGAAATAAATCGCCGCTTATCGTTAATGTTATTGATGCGTCGCGTCATTGTTTTGTTTTGGCTCCTCATCAACTCACCTTATTGATATTTAAGAAACAATGGGTTTTCTATTTATTCTCAGTTGGATATCATTAGCTATACAGATCACCTTCATGACACTTTCTATAGGTATGTTATCAGAATTTGATTACGTGCCGCCTAACATACGCCTTTTTCCAGTCGCCGGACTTTACTATCTGGCTGAATTGGCGGAGGAGTACACAACGCCAGCACGACGTTTTATTCTATTTATGATAAGTTTCACAATTATCGTATATATAATGCTTATTTTATTCGAGGACTTTTCGTGGACCATGATGTCGTGTGGTCTAGCGGCGCAGGCTTTTCATTTCAGTATAATGACTAATTTCCCATTCATCCAATTGCTTTCGGTGTCTTTTATTGGCTCGTTAGCGATGCTGGTGATTAATCATGTGCTCGCATTTCAGTATTTTACCAGCGTCTACGTTCCCTTCACACAGGTAAGCGTCAAGAGATCTAGAAGCAACTAATTTTTAGCAAACGACTATTTTTTTAAGGTGCTCGCCTATTTCACTGTTTGCTTGTGGATGGTTCCCTTTGCACTCTTCGTCTCACTCAGCGCCAACGACAATGTGCTGCCCACAACGATTAGCACCAATGAGCGACGTTTGGGCAGCAGTAATCCGGATGTGGTCAGCAACTACTTTTCGCGCAACAAGAAGCTTGGATTGCTCTCGTTTTTTAACTATATTAAGGAGACGTTGCTGCCGGGTCGCAGCAAGAAATCATTTTAGGCAGACACCAAAGATCTTGAGAATCGATTGGCATAGTTCATTGTAAGGGAACTCAAGAACCTTTAGTTATTTATTTTGTAATATACCCTTTAACAATGTGTAGTAGTATTAATATGAACATTTGAATTGCATTATGCAAATTACTATTCCAATTGAGATCTATCTGCTCTGCACCTTGACGGAGCCATCTGCCATGCCAAAGTAACATTTGGTTGCCATGTCCACAAACAGACCAGTCTCCAAGACACCCGGTATCATGGATATTGCCACATTAACTTCTTGCCAATTGTATTCGCGTTTGGCAACAAATCTCCAGTCAAGCAAAAAGTTGCCATTGTCGGTGACAATGGGGCCGGCCTTTTTCAGGGCAATGCGCAGCTGAGCTTCGCCGCCGAAGAGCTCCTCGATTTTCAGCTTGATTGGGACATAGGCCAAGGGCGCGACCTCAATAGGTATTCCTTTGCACCATTGCTCGCCTAGGCGGAGCGATTTCTTAGTGTAGTCCGCAATGATTATGACAGTCTTCGAGCACGAGGCAACAATCTTTTCCTGCATTAGGCAACCCCCGCCGCCTTTAATAAGCACCATACCGCTGTCAACCTCGTCGGCGCCATCAATATAGACATCGATCCGGCAGTTGCGATCCAAATCGCCCAATGTTAGATTATGATCAAGTATCAGCTTACGCGCCTGAAACGATGAGGGCACACAAATCATGTCGGAGAGGGCGCCCTCTTTCCACACGCGTTCCGCAATGCGCTCCACGACAAATACTATGGTCGTACCGCTGCCAATGCCCACCACTTTGGTCTCTTCGGTCACCCACTGGTCAACGGCAGCGCGTGCCGCTAGCTTCTTGGCTGCATCCAGAGCAATTTTAGAGTCCATATTGCAGCAGAATGTGCGTCGTACAGCTGTCACTTGCAAATTGATGCCCGATCTTATGGCAGTTGAGAGCAAATGTGGTAAATGCGGTTGCAGTAAACCTCGGCACAGCAACAAGGGCTTCAACATGTGCTTCTTCAACTTTAATGTGACCCGGCTTTAGTTTGACAAGTAAGTTCTCACTATAATGACACAAGCTGAAAATTATTTTTCAAGACAAGTCGTTTGCTTAAATGTCTGCATCAATATTTGCTTTAATTCTGGCTACTTTCAGCAAATGTTTTTAAAGCATAAACTCAGTGCTGCTAAGCTCTTATCGATTATATCGAAATATCGTATGAAGTCAACGCGGCCACGCAGCATTGCCATTTGGAAATTTAAAAGTAACTGACTGTTACTTTTTAAAAGCTTTTAATTTTTAAAGGGAGGGCATAGAGGGGAAAATTTGATTTAATAAAATGCTAATTGTATTGATTTGCATTTATTTATAAAATTATGTTGTTGATTATTACAATTAAGAAACTTAATATTTTCTGATTAAGTTTGTGGCTGGGTAAGCTTCTGCAACAAATTGAATGTAACAATCTTCGGCGCAAAGAAGCCACCGAAACCTTCCTTTCCCTTATGATAGATGCCAAGGCCAGAAATTGGCATTGCTGGATTGGTCACAACGTCCTGTATATCAATAAAGGGTACGGTGGTCTGTGCGGCATCCATGTCCATGCTGCTGCTTATAAATTCCATAAATTGATTATTTTTCGATAATGGTACAGATTTAACTGTTGTTTTGGTCGGCTTATCAGGGTTCTTTAGTAGGAGCTTCTGGCGTGGTTTATCCGCATTGTTGCCCAGCCAAAAGCTGTTTACCTCCGGATTCAATAGACGTCCGGTGGTAAAGTTGAAAAGGCTAAAGCGCACCTCTAAATTGAGATGTTTGTCGATGACACGAAAACGGGCACCCGTAACCACAAGGGAGTCATTTTTCGCGGTTATCTCATCCAAATCCAGCGAACGGCTCTCAAAGGTGAGCTCATGATAGTCAAAGCCGTTGCGTATGTCCACGTGGTTGACATCAAAAGACTCCAGTGGTATCCAATCCAGTGACGACTGATTAATCAAACCACCTGGCCACAGTTCGCCTTGCTGCAACTGCAAATGGAAAATACGTTGATCCTTGATAAAACGCGCTCCAGTGACAATCTTGTTCTGGTGAAAATCGGAGAGTGTATCACGCAAGCTAAAGTAGCGATCGGACTGCGGACCCGGCTCGTCACACAGACAGAAACAATAGTGACAACGCCAGAAGAGATGAAACGACCAGGACTTCACCCGATTGGAGCCGCGTGAGCACACCAAGTTCTTGGTACCGTCTTCATCAATGTTCAGCAAGCGACCATTGTCATAGTGTATAAACTCGTAGCGACGCGAACTGTTTCCGTATGACTGACAAACGTCCATGTCCGAATCAACGAATTGACAGCTGTGCACGCGTCCGGCACATTTTGGCTGATCATTACAGAATTCGTTTTTCTGGCAACCGGTGACGCGCACGTCCTGGTAATCCTCGCAGGATTGGTAGCAACTCGACTCAGTGTTTAGGTTTATCTCATTCTCTACGTAGCCCTGCATTAGGCGTGTGATTTCGTCGTAAGTCTTCCCCAGCACATGCTCTCGGGGCTTAGGATCACAGCGCCAGTAGATGCGTCCAGTGTGCGCCAACACCTGCCGTAGAACCTGCTGAGAGTGCAGCATGCGGTGCTGGTATTTGTTACGCATTAGCAACATCTCCTGGGTAAAGTTACCTAATCCAAAGTCACGTAAGACCATCCAGGAAAACTCCAGCATGATGTAGCCCTTAATCTCAATTAGCGTTGCCTTCGTGTACATATCATAGGCGAATTGCTGTGGGGATCGATTGGAGGCGCATAATTGCTCCATGTCTGATTCGTAGTTGGACACCAGCTTTGCGAAAAGCGATTGGGTGGCATCATTTTCGGTCTCGTCGTAAATATAAGTGTGCAGCATCTCCAGTAAGTAGCCAATAGAGCTGGGTCCTGGCTTAACAGTCCACTCGGCAAAGTTGCGCAATGTATAAGGATTTACATTCTCCTTGTATTTATCATAGTCAATCATATCCCGATAGCGTTGTAAAAGGCTTCTTGTTATATCGCCCACATAGGTCATCTTGTGGGTTAACTCAGACTCGGCGTGAAATTCACGTCTCAGCGTTTCAATTGTCATTGTAAAATATTCCGCCTGTTTTTCCTCCAAATTGCTTATCTTATTGTTGACCTGCTCAATGGAGTGCATTATTTGACGTTGATTTTCATTCACTAGCGGTATATCATTGCTGCTGCCCAAGGGCAGGTATTCTATAAGATCCCAGGCCTTAAGTAGGCTGCTCGATACCTCGTGGATTAGTTTGATTATGTCCACTGTGTCGTCAACTATATTGGAGCCGATCACTCTCTCGACAGACATCATCTCAAATAGTAGAATCAAAAACAGCATCCCTGTGCCAAAATGAAGACGCATTTCGAAGTAGATTTCTCAGTGCTGAAAATTATATCATTAAAGTTATCTTCCTCGTAAGCGATTCTCGGTCTGTATGGACATACATATGTATGTCCGTGCATTTAATTACTTACTTGAATTTCAGTCACTTAAAATATGTTTATGTTATTTTTGTTTATTCACAAAGTGCCGCCTCAACGTTTACGTCCGATCTGTTCGCTGGACTCTCTGGCTTTGATACTCAGCAAAGGCAATGCAAACGATTATATCTACATACATATGTTGTGTATAGAGAGAGAAAGAGAGAGAGGCGCACATACACACACAAACATACATATATGTGTGTATGTAGGTAGCGTCACATATTAGAGCTGGTAATTCCATAGAGGTTCGTTGAGCTGGGAGCAGCCTTTTTAAAGGTGCAGGTACAGTGAGTAGAGATTTTGGGAATGTTTTACCACTAACCATAGAACA